AGGGTTTAGGGTTTACCCTGAACCCTCAACCCCTAAACCCTAAACCCAAACCACCCTAATCCCTAAACCCTAAACCCTAAACTCACAGCCCAGCAGCGTGGAGCTCATGCGTTCTGCGATCCGGCATCTGTGGGACGTCGGGCGGCGCATCTTGTCCCCAGCCAGAATCCCAGGAAGACATAGCCTGCAGAGACATTGGGTTTAGGGGTATAGGGCTTAGGGTATCGGGTTTAAGGTTTAGGGTCCGGGGTTTAGGGCGTATTTCGGGTTTAGGGCATAGGGTTCAAGGTTTTGGGTTTTGGGTTTAGTGCGTATTTGGGGTTTAGGGTTTTGGGGTTAGGGCTCTGCTTTGGGAGTTCAGGCCTTTCGGGCTTCAGGGGTTTTGAGGTCTCGTAGGTCTTCAGGGTTTGGGAGTTTGCTTCGCCGCGGGATTACAGGCGTCAGCTAAGATACAGAAGAAGATGTTCATTAGCCTACCCTAAACCCTAAAGTTTAGAGTTTAGGGCTAAAAAACCCTAAACCCTCAGGCTCTCTGACGTTTAAGGGTCAAGGGTTCTCCCTACTCACCACAAAACACCCTAAACCCTAAACCCTAAACCCTAAACCCTAAACTCTATGAGCCCAGAAGGCCCTGAACTGCACACCGTTAAACCGCCTAAGTCCCCAAGAAACCTTATAATATAGGGGCCTTAATAATTAGAATGGGGTTCCTTTAAAGGGATCCTTACAGGGTGCTATAAGGGATCTATAATAGGGTTCTATATTAGGAGCCTTAATGATTAGAATAGGGTTTTCGGTCCCTTTATAGTATAACTATAATAAGGAACCCCCAAAACTATTGAAAACCCTAAACCCTAAACCCGAAACCCTAAAACCCTAAAACCCTAAACCTTAAACCTCGTATTTGTAACTACAAAGGCCCCTACAGCAAGCACGCAACACCCTGATGAAAACCTGAAGCTGACCTACAGGGCTTTTAGAGTTAAAGGGTTGAGGGTTTAGGGTTGAAGGGTTTAGGGTTAAAGGGTTTAGGGTTTAGGGTTAAAGGGTTTAGGGTTAAAGGCGCTTGGGTTTTGGGTTAGAGGTTGAGGGTTTAGGCTCAAAACCCCCACAAACTAAACCCAAATGGACACAGCGCCCCAAGCAGTAGGATCCAATCCACACAAGGCCCCAAACTACCCCCAAAACCCCACACCCTGAACCCTCAAGCCCTGAACGCTACAAGCCCCAAAACCCTAAACCCAAAAAACCTAAACCCCCCTAAACCCCCAAAACCCTGAACCCCAGAGTTAACCCCATCAGGTCTCTTGTAGTAACCCTTATAGAACCCCCTTATTTAGGTGTCTGGAGCCCCAATATAGGGGCCGAAGAAACTACCTATACTATCTTTTTTTTTGGGGGGGTGGGGTCCTTATAAGTATTAACCCTTATAGAACCCTTTTAAAGGAACCGGTTTAGGGTTTCGGGTTCCCCCAGAGCCCGAAACCCTAAACCCCAAACCCTGAACCCTAAACCCTAAGCCCCTAAACCACCCTAAACCCTAAACCCTAAACCCTAAACCCTAAACCCTAAGCCCTAAACCCTAAACCCTAAACCCTAGTAAACCCCCAAGGCCCACCTTCAACTCGTCGATCCCCCTGACCTCGTCGGCTTCCGCCCTCTGCTCCGTCGACTCCTCGCGGATTTCGGGCGCCTTGTCCTAGGAAGCAGGGCAGGGGCTTTTAAAGGGTTTAGGGTTTAGGGTTTAGGGTTTAGGGCTTAGGGTTTCGGGTTTCGGGTTTAGGGTTTAGGATATAGGGTTTAGGGTTGAGGTTTTAGGGCTTAGGGCTTAGGGTTTAGGGTGCCTTGGGGTAGGGGGGTTGAGGGGTGTAGGGGTTAAGGGGTGTAGAGGTTTAGGGGTGTAAGGGTTTAGAAGTGCAAGGGTTTAGGGGTGTAGGGGTTTAGGGGTGTAGAGGTTTGGGGGTGTAAGGGTTTAGGGGTGTAGGGGTGCAGGGGTATAGAGGTTTAGGCGTGTAAAGGTTTAGGGGTGTAAGGGTTTAGGGGTATAGAGGTTTAGGGGTCTAGAGGTTTGGGGGTGTGGGGGTCTACGGGTGTAAACGGTTGTGTCTGAGGATTAGGGCTTTGGGTTTAGGGTTCAGGAGTTTCGGGTACAGGGGTTTAGGGGTGTAGAGGTTCAGGGTTTATGGTTTGTAGGGTTGCTCAAGGGATTCATAAGCTTCTTGAAGGGCTTCACAAATGCTTCGTACGGTTTGTCTCGGCGCTTAGGGATTTGGATAAGTCTCTTGGGTGGGTCGCGGGTATGCTGCGGATTAGGCGAGCGGACTTATCTTGTGACAAGGTGGATTTCCATCGCATCGTACAGTAGTACACTAGCGACTAGCTGCTGAAGGCGTTTCTTACTTCCATCTCCCGACTCTCTTGCAACCGCAGGAACCCCTATTTCCCCATAGACTGCACGAGTTGAAAGTAGGTTGTGAAAGGATGTGGGGGAGGGCTTACGGCCGAGGTGGGTGGCAGCTGTCATGCTCAGACGCCAAAGCTAGCAGCACCCATCCAATCCGATTTCTGTGCAACCTGTATACAAGGCCTTCGAAAGTTCAACCCACGGCAACTCAGGCGGCCAAAGCAGCCGAACACATTCCTTCTAGGCTTCGGTCCACAACTCATCTCCAAAGCTCCCCGACTGTTCCCTGCCCGTTAGAAGCTTCCGCATCTCTGTACGGTTTAGGGCGCAGGGTTTCAGGTTACTGCTACTTCCATTAGTTAAGGGACAATAGGAGGGACCTAGAAGGGACCCCTAATCCAAATACCCTATATAACCCCTATATACCCCTTATTAAGTCTCATAGGCCCCTATATAACCCCAAGGGTCCCTTTAAGGGTCCCTCCTTTAGTCCCTTGAATTAGGATCCCGTACTTGCGGACTTCGGGGTTGGGTGGTGGGGCCTACCTAGCGGCGTTTCGCGAACTTGGCTCCTAAGCCGCAACACGTAAACCCTACTACACCCTGAATCCTGCACCGTAAAACCCTGAACCCTAAATAAACCCTAAACCCTGGACCCTAAATCCCTAAACCCCTGAACCCTAAATCCTAAACCCTAAACCCCTAAACGCCTAAACCCCTAAACCCCTAAACCCCTAAGCCCTAAATCCTGACGTTCGCTCATGCCAACTTGCATCGAAGCAGCTATCCGACCCTTGCAGCCGGAGGTGTGCGAGGCATCTTCCTCGAGGGTCTTCGGGCTTAGGGGCCCTAAAACACTGGGGTTTTGAAATTTGCAGTTTAGGGTTTGGGGCTTTGGGTTTGGGGTTTAGGGTTGAGGGTTTAGGGTGCTTTGGGTTTTGGGTTTAAAGGGTTGCAAGGCTGGGGGTTTAAAGGGCTTTTCGGTTGAAGGGTTTAGGCTGCGGGGTTACAGGGGTTGAAGGCTCAGAGCTTGGGGCGTAAGGCCCATGACTGCCATTGTCTGTTGTTCTAGGGCCGTCAACAGCTCACCGCAACCACAACGGCAGCAGCAGCAGCAGCAGCAGCAGCAGCAGCAGCAAAAGCAGCACCAGTATCAGTACCAGCACCAGCACCAGGCACAGCAGCAGAAGCGCATTGAGTAGCAATGGCATCACAGAACCGTCCTGACTCCGGATGCTAATCACTATCGTGATCGGTCTCACATGGGCAGTCTACGATGTCCTGCAGTCCTAATACTTGGCTCACCAAGGTGAGGACTTCTTGCGCTATTGATCTGTTTACTTCGAGCTTGAGTTTTAGTCTGGATCCACGAAGGGTCCGACCGAAACCCGAACCTCTATCCTTTCGGGACCAGTGATTCGGATATGGGGTTTCCGAGTTTCGGGTTGAGTTCGTGATGCTTACCGTTTGGGGCGTAGGCCCCCCTAACCCCTAAACCCTAAACCCTAAACCGTAGGCCCCCCTAAACCTAAGCATCAAGTCGGCTCCTCGACGTGCAACCGCTCAGTGTCATTCATCTTTCCCATGCTGCTTGGCCATGCCTTGGGGACCACATGACCCTTATAGGGCTACTATAAGGGTTTAGGGTGTAGGGGCCTTAATGACTAGAATAGAGTTTTGGGGTATATCATACTATAGTTATCATAATAAGGACCTCAGTAGAGGCCCTATACCCTTATACTATGAATCCCTATGTGGTATATGAACCTCAAAACCTTTTGAGGTTCATTTCGTCACTAAGGTGCAGGAGATACCACCGGCCCACGCAGGTCAACGAAGTCCACGGGTTTCACCTGAAGTCTGGTCTGGTGACTGACATGCTTAGTTTAGGGTTTAGGGTTTAGGATTGTTAGGGTTCAGGGTTTTATAGGGTTTAGGGTTTAGGGTTTAGGGTTTTTAGGGTTCAGGGTTCTATAGGTAATAGGGGTTTGGCTTGGGACTAAACGTGTCCATAACCACTGCCAGCGGTTCTGCTGCATTCCTGTGAATTCCTACCGTACCACCCTCTTCGTACTCAGAGGCTCAGGGGACGTAGTAGATAGGTTATAAGTCATAAGAAGGTTTGCGAGAACCCTAAATGACGCTATCCGCGGTGCAACCCTGCCTCTAAGGCTCACAACCTACTTATATACTGAGTCCCCTGAACCTTCAAGTAGGATTTCAGCTGGAAGCTGCTTCAGAGAAAGCCCAAACCCTTGCAACCGAAGTTCGCTTCAAGTAATATGGGGGGCCTTATAATCGCCTTAATAATTAGAATAGGGTTTGGGGGCCATCTTATACTCTAGTTACAAAGAAAGGAACCTCCACAATAGTATAGGTAATTGGGTAGTTGTCAAAATTATGGTCCCTTTTGGGGTACCCTAAATAATAGGTGCCGTAAAATAATGAGGACCCAAAAAGGGACCCTAATTTTGACAACCACCTAATTATTGAGGCCCCTATGGTAGCCCCAACCGGCCCCCACGTTTTTGGGAGCTTCCGAAGGTGAGGGACCCTCCCAGACCTTCCAAGATCCCTTAATTAAAGAATAGGGTTTAGGGTTTAGGGTTTAGGGTTTAGGGTTTAGGGTTTAGGTTTAGGGTTCCTTAAATCGTATTAGAGATCCTACTATAATTTAAGGTAGACTCCTTAATTCAGGGGTATTGGGAGGTCTGAGCTCACTTAGACCCTAAACCCTAAACCCTAAACCCTAAACCCTAAATGACAGGATCGGTTTCGGGTTGCAGGTTTGAAGTTGAGGGCTTTGGCCGACTTTGAGGTGCTCAGGAGGACCTCTAAACAACCCTAACCCCTCAACGGTTTAGGGTTTAGGGTTTAGGCCTAAACCCGCAAACCCATAAACCCTCAAACCCTAAACTCTGAACCCCTAAACCCGAAACCCCCTAAACCCTTAAACCCTAAACCCTCTGTTTCCAAGGCCCCATTCGGCCTGAGACCGAGATCTCGTCTCCACGCTGCTCCCGCACCCCATCCCTGCACCTGAAGCGAAGATGCCAGTTGCAGGGTTTTAGGGCTTTGGGGTTTAGGGTTTAGGGTTTAGGGTTTAGGGTTTAGGGTTTAGGGTTCATGGTTTAGGGCTGAGGGTTTGCCTCGTTAGAATCTAGGGTTTGGGGCCAGGGTTCCTTTTAAACCCTAAACCCTAAACCCTAAACCCTCAACCCTAAACCTAAACCCTAAGGTAGGATCAGGGGTTTTGGAACCCCTTTTCGACTTTTTTGGTTACCAGGGGGTTTGGTGGCTTTTTGATTGATTGATTTAAGGTTCTAGAATGTGATGTCGCTTACCCAGAGAACCCAATACCCCTGAAGTAAGGAATAGACCCTAGATGATAGGGACCTTAATTTTCTAAAAAAGCAGACCTATAAGAAACTATAAGAATCCTATGAAAAAACCGCAAAACCTTTATAAACCCTTAAAGGAACAGAACAAAACCTGTATGAACCCTTAAAAGGAACACTAAAAGAGCCTTAGGCGTACTCTTCTCCGACGTGCCTTTGGAAGACCCAAAGGACGTTCGAAGGGCCCTTTGTCTGTAGGTTTAGGATCTAGGACTTAAGGGTTTAGGGTTTAGGGTTTAGGGTGTAGGGTAGTTTCCCTTGCCATGCACTGGCTGCACTGGCGTGTAACTTTGTGAAAGTTAGCGATTCTTAGCCATGCCTCCAGCGACATGCTGTCATAATACCCTCAACCACAAACCCTAAACCCTAAACCCTAAACCCTAAACCCTAAACCACAAACCCTAAACCCTAAACCCTCAACCACAAACCCTAAACCCTAAACCCTAAACCCTAAACCCTAAACCCTAAACCCTCAACCACAAGCCCCAGTGCCCTGACAGCCGCTGACACCTGACCAAACTCTGACCTAAGCCAACAAGATGTGGAGCTTCGGAGAAACCCCAAACCCTAATATAGAGTAATGTAGGGGCCTGAACTATTTCTGTAGGGTTTAGGGTTTAGGGCTTATAGGGCTTATAGGGTTTATGAGGTTTAGGGCTCAATATAAGGGCCTTAATAATTAGCTATACTATTTTTGGTGGTTCCTTATTATAGTTATTGTATCAGATACCCCCAAACCGTATTCTAATTACTAAGGCCCCTACATTAGACATTAGACCAGCTCACGTTTAGAGGGTTTAGGGGTTTTGGAAAGTTGAGAAGCCACATCAAAGCGTTAGCAACCTCTGCGAACGAACCCTGCTATACAGTGAACCCGCAGATGCTCCACACTCAGCCGAAAATCTCTCAATGACGAGACCAGCTGATGTACACCCTAAAGCCTGAACCCTAAACCGTTCCGACCCCGAGATTAACCCCACTACTGGTAACCGCATGGAAATGTGGAGCCCTATCTCAGCGCACCTGTTTGCCTCGATACTTTGGGGTCTGAATAGCTGGTAGCACAATCCCCGTATAGGCCCTACATGCGTGCTCTAGGCTTTGACCCCAAACCATGTTCTAACTGTTGATGGGCAAAATTCGGCATGACCCAAATATAGTATAGCACCATAAATCCCATAGTTTAGGTATATAGGGTCATGCAGGATTTTGGCCATCAACCGAATCATTTGCTCATATATCATACAAACCCATTAATAAACCCTAAACCCTAAACCCTAAACCCTTAAACCCCTAAACCCTAATCCATAATGACTTTACACAACTGGAACTCCGGACATCCCAATGGCAAGGCCCGTGCAAGCAGGGCTTCAGGAGGGGTCTCAGAATGCCATGAGCCGAGACGGCTGCAAAAGATAGGAGTGGGGTTCAGGGTTTAGGGTTTAGGGCTGCAACAGACAGGAGTGGGGTTTAGGATCTAGCCTGCTATAAGGCTTGCTTAGGGGTTTTCAGTGCTCTACGGGTTCTGTAGGGCTCTATGGGCGCTTATAGAGGTTTAGGGGTTTTGGGTTTAGGACATTAGGGGTTGGGGTTTAAACCCTAAACCCTAAACCCAAGAGTTTGGGAGCGTTTCGGGCTGAATGTGCATTTCGCAGTGGTGGTGTCGGATGCAAGCGAGGCTCGAACCAGGGTAATGTAGGGGCCTTAATAATTTGAATACGGTTTAAGGTTTAGGGTTTAGGGTTTAGGGTGATACTATAATCATAATAAGGAAGCCCCAAAATTCATCTGGAGACTGAAAAACCTGCGGAAGGCGGAATGCCTGCGCTTGAATCAGTGATATTGAACATGCTCGTCAAACCAGATGAAACATTTCAACCCGCCATGGCCCAGAATCCTAGCCCGTTGCGGAAGTCCGCAGCGACCTCACAAAAATAAAACCGCTTGTCACACTCTTGTGAAGCCCCAATAAACGCCCGCCCACAGCCCAACCCTAAACCCTAAACCTTGAACCCTAAACCCTAAACCCTGTAAAACAGCTAGAAGCCCCCCTCAACAGGAGCCTTAAGCACCCCGAAACCAACAACAGAAACATTAAATCGTAAACCCCGGGTTTGGGGTTTAGGGTTTAGGGTTTAGGGTTTAGGGTCCGGGTCCTTTGAGCTCGAAACGCTTCAGGGTCTTCTACCAAGCTCCATCTCAATCTACATACAACTCTTGCAAAAACCAGATGATAAAGCCCCACAGAGCCCGCAGCTTGCAACCAGCGAGGACACTATAGATTCTATGTTATGGAGCCCTTGCTTAAGGAAAAACTCCAGTAATCAACCCTTGAGCCTGAACTCTAAACTCTAAGCTCTAGATCCTAAACCCCTGTATCCTGCAACGCCTAAACTCCTATACCCTAAACCCCTAAACCCGCAAAACTTGACCGGTTAAAGGGACCCCGTAGACGAATCCTTATGTTTACCTTTGATGGAAAAGCAGTCGAGGACCACACTCTCCTTCTTCACGGGCTGCACGCGCTTCGTTGCGGGGTTTTCGGCCAACCGTCCGGCCAACAGGTCCTTGGAGTTGCTTGGGGGGTTTGGGGTTTGGGGTTTGGTGTTTAGGGTTTCGGGTTTAGGGTTTCGGGCTTGGGGTTTAGGGCTTGGGGGTAAGGGCTTCGGGCTTCAACGGTTTTAAGCTTTGAGGCTTTGGATTTTCGGCTGAGGGGGGGTGTAAGTTTGGGACATATGGTCCCTGCAAAGGGGTGGAGTTGGGTAATATAGGGGCCAAATATTGGCTCCTTGTTATAATTCTAATTATTAAGGCCCTTACAGTAGATCTTGGCACTTTAGTGCTTCTGTTGAAGTGTGCTGCTGACCCCAAGTTTAGAGCTTGTACCGAGAGAACCCAATACCCCTCAATTCAGGAATAGACCTTAAATGATAGGGGCCTTGATATTATGGTTTAATGTATATGCCTTACTCCCCGTCCCTCTCCCTCCTCCACGTTACCAAATCCCCCTCCCAATCTTACTCTCCCTGTCCCCCTCCCGGTTGCTGTTTGGTTCCTCGGTTACGCTCCCTATCCCCCCCGCCCCCTGGTTGCTGTTTGGTTCTTCACTTCCTCGCTTGGTTTCGGGGACTACGCCCCCTCCCGCCACCCACCCACCCACCCACGTCCTCCGGCCCCCCTCCTCCTCCTCGGAACCTTGGCTGCGATGAGTAAACATCCATTGGCAACTGCAGCTCGCAGAACGTTGGTCAAGCAAGCTCGAATGAAAAGGGTTTCACTGCGCTCCGCACGCGTTTAGCAGGGAGAGCGGTCCACCGCCAGATCTTCCAGGACCAGTCGGACCAGCGTGTCGCCGAGAGAGCGGGGGTCCCAGGTGTGAAGGCAGCCGACTGTAAAAGCCGGAGCCAGGGTGCTCACGGGGCATCCCGGCCGGACTCCGTGGAGAATGTCAGGGATTGCGGACTCCACGTCCTGACGGTTCGCGACATCCAGTGGGGTCCTAGGTGTGGGGAGGATGCGCCGGGGGAGTGCTCCGCCGTGGACGCTCAAAATACAACCTTCCTGGCTGAGCCGGGCTCGGCATCCCCGGGAAAATGCAGCAGTGTCCGAACGCCAAGCTGATGCGATGGCGGGAGTGCCACACTGCACTGATGCTGTGACCACAGGTGCGCCGGTGAAGAGCCAGGGGTCTGGGGTTAGGGTTTTGGAAGCTTATACCCAGAGAGCCCAATACCCCTTAATTAAGGAATATACTTTAAAACATAATATTAAGCCCCTATAGTTTAAGGTATATTCCCTAATTAAGGGGGTATGGGGCTCTCTGGGTAGGGCTCAGGATATACAGCATCTGGGGTTTCCAAAAACCGAACCAGGACCTGTCTTTGGTGGTTCTGGAGGGGTCCTAACCGAATACCCCAAGCCTAAAACCGAAACCCTACTGTTGATGGACAAAATCCTGCATGACCCTATAGACCTAAACTATGGGATTTATGGCACTATACTATATTTGGGTCATGCAGAATTTTGTCCATCAACCGTATCTCCTGGAGCCCAAGAGACTTTAGTGCAACTTGTGACTCTAGCACAAGTTTCGTCATTAGGGCGTGAGAGGACTCGGGGGTCTTGGGCGCAACTTGCGAAAAGCATTTAGGATTCAGGGCTCAGACATCAGGCTTTCACGTCGTGCCTGGCCGTGCCTTAGAACCCTAAACCCCTAAAGAGGGCTATGACTTCCCCTACCACACAATCTAGGGGCCTTAATAATTAGAATAGGGTTTTGGGGGTTCCTTAATATAATTATAGTATGATATACCCCAAAGCCCTAATGTAATTATTAAGGTCCCTACATTATAAGACAAGAGCCGCCAGCACGAGCTGGAACTTCTGCCCTAACCTACTGAAACCGCGGGACATGGGACGACCACAGTTTAGGGTTCTGGGTTCTTGGGTTTAGGGTTTAGGGTTTGAAGCATGAGACAACTCAGACTCAAACGAACATTGCAGTGGTGTAGCACTGGCTGGTTCTCCAGGAGCTCCCAAAATAAGCGCCCGGCTGGAAAAGTCGGCAACTCCACAGGTGCCTGCTGGATGCGTTTAGTTTGGGGCTGAGGGTTAGGGGTTTGGTGGTTTTGGG